TCTGTGTTTTAGTATTGATTTACACTCTCAGTTTTGTGCTCTTTGTCACTACTGCTATATCCAGGATTTCTCATCCCAATATATTATCACAAAAATTATTTCTGCCAAGCAGCAAAAAAAAAACTACAAATGTGACATCAATATAGTGCAGGAGTAAAAAGGAAACATAGCACAAAATATAAGTACCTTAAATTTACATTACATTGTTTTCCATCAATGCATACAATGGCTGTTCATTAGATTTGTGTTATACAGGTATGTATAAATCTCATTTAATTGAAAGATGCTTCTGCTGAAATTTCCTTAATATTTGTTCAGACACATAGTGTTTGTCTGCCCATATGTCTCTAGACAGGCTTACCTCAATTCTTGGAAGCAGAGCTCACCCTGGCCACCGGAGGCCAAGAGAGGCAGTGATGCAGTTAATATTGCACTGTGTGTGTCTGTGTGTGTGCATGAGCTGATCATCCCCAGGCCTGGTTCAGGTAATGTAGCAGAGAAAAGAGTAAGCCACCTTGACATGCATGCCTGGATCTCAGAGACTAGCAAGCCACCAGAGGGTATGGTTTGTGTGTGTCAGTGTGTTGGTGGGCATCTCTGCCATTTACCTACATGTCTGTGTGTCTAAAAACCTGAACACTGTCTGTGGTGATTAAGTCAAAAATTCTAATGAGTGGATGGGCCAATGTTTTAAAAATGAAAGTGTGTCTTAAAAGGCCCGACTCTCACAACATGCTTTGCTGATCGCTGAGAAAGAGCCCAACCTGTGCACTCTGTGCAGCAGTGTGAACTAATGGCTAGATGGCTCAATGGAATTAGATGTGATTGGTATCTGTTCACCTTGACTCACAAGCTGATCCCTCTGATTTTGCTTCACCAGACCATGATTTCTTGGTGTCTCAGCATTTACTCTATGGGACAGTCATTTGCCTCACTTAGCATCTCCAATCTCAAGGCATTAACATAGTTAACATAGTTAATGCCTTGAGGGCCAGATTTGTTTCAGATACTTTCCACCCACACAAACTTGGGTTATTGTTTTATTAATAACTAACATAATCTTGCCTTCCAAAACTTAATGGCATACACTGCTATTTCAGCCATCTCTACTCCTGACATCTTACCCTTGCTTTGTTTGTTCATTGTATATTGTCAGTCAGAATTCTGTCGTGAAACGTGTCCAAAAATAGCACCTGTATCATCTGCTCCTTTTGTAAATGCACAGCAGCTGCCAACAACTATTGTGGATGAGCCTCAGAAATACCCAGAATGCACTACAATGTGGCATTGACTCCAAAGCCCTACTAGGATACTCAGAATACATTTAGAATGGTTCCATTTGTAAAATCTGTTCTGGGTAAGTTTCTGTATTTTAGTGATTAAAAACATTTATGTGGCAGGTTGTAAAATGAGAACCAGACCAGAAAGTTTCTCTTTCTTTGGTATTGTATTATTTTAACATCTTTATTTAATGGAAGAAATGCTAAAATCAATTTTGTCATAGTTTAGATTGTTTTTTTTTTTCCTGTGATCAGTTACTGACTTAAAAGTCAGGTCTACTAAAAAATAGATGTACTCAGTATGTGCAAAATGTATGGAAACATCGGACCTGGATCTCCATTTTGAGGAAGTTTTATTGAGAAGAAGGTGATGAATTTTGTTGTATATTGTCTTCTTCTTCCTTTGGCTGTTCCCGTTAGGGGTCGCCACAGCGAATCATCTGTTTCCACCTAACTCTATCCTCGGCATCCTCTGCTCTCACCCCAATTAACGTCATGTCCTCTTTTAGCACATCCATATATCTCCTCTTTGGCCTTCCTCTTGACCTCTTGCCTGGCAGCTCCATCTCCAACATCCTTCTACCAATATAACCACTATCCCTCCTCTGCACATTCTCTAACCCATACAGCATAGCTGGTCTCACTACTGTCTTGTACACCTTTCCTTCTTGCTGCCACTCTTCTGTCACACAACACTCCTGACACCTTTCTCCACCCACTCCAACCTGCCTGCACTCGCCTCTTCACCTCTTTCCTACACTCCCCATCACACTGGACTGTTGACCCCAAATACTTAAACTCCTGCACCTTCTTGACCTCAGCCCCCTGTAACCTCACTGTTGCACTTCCCTCCCTCTCGTTCACATGTATTTTGTCTTACCACGACTGACTTTCATTCCTCTTCTTTCCAGAGCAGACCTCCACCTTTCCAGGTGTTCCTCCACCTGCTCTCTGCTCTCACTGTTGTATATTGTCTGCTCTGGGGAAAAGATGAATGGGGAGCACAATACTTATTACTGACATGCTGAGTGTTCTAAAGAAGCATTATTGATACCCGCTGACAAAAACCTGTGTTAAAAACACTTCCAAACTCACTGGTGTGAATCTCAATATGACTCACTGCTTAAGCTGCCAGATATTTTAACCAGGAGGTAAGTTGACAACATATTAATCACAGCAACAGATTATCTACAGTATGAGTCCATTTTCATACACACACGCATGTGTACGCACAAACATGCACATGCATGCACAGACAAAGCATTCATCAATATAACCACACTTCACATATACTGAGAAGCAGCAGATCAGTCAGAGCCATAAATGCAAGGAGGTCTATGGACAGACCTGGCAGTGGGCTTAGAAATGGTAGCAAATCAGCTTTATGCAGCTCACACACACCCTCATGAACACAAACACACACTCTGACCACATAAAAGAAAATAAAAAATAAATAAAAAACTGTATTTTTATTGGATGCCCAGAAACGATCGGTGATCAAACTTCAACAGCCAAAAGAGCCACAGTGATTTAGTGGAGTGAAAATCCATTATGGCTCCATACAAAGGTAATGACTTCTTCAGGCCTTCCAGCTGATTCTCCAAAACAAGAATGGGAGGAGAAAACACACATGCTTTCTCTCTCTCTCACACAGACACACACACTGGACAAATCAGGCCTTGTACAGAATAGCATGAGGTCCTGAAGAAGTCCACACCTCTCTAAGTCAATCACTCAGAGTGACAGCGGAGACAACAGTTGAGCTGTTTCAACAGCCAGCAGTCTGGCTACTGCCTGGTAGAAAATGAGCAGAGGAGCCACAGTGGCACTAATAGTGTTCATTACAAGAAGACATAAAGCCAAGCATTATGGCAACAATAAGATAGAACAGGGCAGAAGCAACATTGAATTTTCCTACTGCACACTTCAGGCTGCAGCACATCCTTCACATAATACTAACCTTTATGTAAAAGCTGGAAAAAATGACTAAAATTATTGGCAGCAGTAATGGCTCAACCTGGTGATTTGCTCAACCTTCAATATGCTTCTTTTCCCTATGCTATTAAAGTAATTTATAAAACTATTTGTTACCTTGAACAAGGCAGCCAAGCTCAAATTACTCTGGGAAACAATTTAAACAGTGAAAAATGTATGAAAAATGCTTTTCAGTCTCTCAACAGAAAAGGCTAAGGTGCCCTTGAGCAAAGCAGGTATATCTTAACATATTGGATGAAGCAGTGAGTGTTGCTGGAGACCTGCACAGCACTTGGTGAAATAGCCCCACAGTGCAATTTTTAAATAATGCACTACAGTGTCCAAGAACATGCAGTACCTTCTACACTGTGCCTGCTTGAAGAGTACTGAAACGGCATTTGAAGCACCCTGTTGCAAAGAGTTGATTCCTACGGTAATGGTGAGTGCTGTAAAAACAAGTCATGACTGTAGCACAGATTGTTGGTAGACTGAGATTTATACACAGAATCATACTGATTCTCCGATGATGCATACTGGACTGTGAATAAAAAGAAATTTTGTTTTAGGTGGATCTTTGTAACTATTAAACTACTCTCTACTCTGTTGTTCTCACTTGCCTGATAATGGTGCCTTACATAAAATGAAAGAAGTTACTATATAGTGGATGCATCATTAGCAAACAGCTGTGATACCAATTAGGTTTATAGATTATCAGACATGCCTTTTGTGACTTTTGTTTTCTTTGTGTCAGACCAACTTGTTAGCACAGCTTAAATAAGACTTGCCATGACATTATAAAAACATCTGTAAGGCCTCTTTAACTATAAGACTTATCCTTGATTAGAGCCAGCTTTAAGCCAATTCAATAATTGCCACCCCTGAAATAATTACATTGGAGAGTCCTTTATGGAAGCAAGTAAACTAATCCTGCAAAGTAGCTAATTAAGAGGTGGCAGTGGCTAAAGCTATATTACCACATGCTTATGATATGAAATGAAGAACATGAATGATCAGAGGTCACAGTGGATGTTATTAGAGCATATTTTGATTAAAGAAGGGGGTGGGGTCAAATGCTAGAAATTGACAGAAACAAGCCCACCATCTGACACAATCACTTGTGCCTGAACAAGAAGACTTGAACTGCTACTGTCCTCTCCTGTCATCTCCTGTTCTCTCTGCTCCTCAATCAACACTGTGATGGCAATTGCCTCTTCCACAATACCAATGCCAGAGAGATAAGCTAAACCTGGAGCTGACCCAAAATGAAAGCTTGGCACACTCAAAAGACATATTAATCCTACTGAATTCCTCATTGCAATCGACAGCACTGTGTGCACTAAATAATTCAGAATCCCTTCTGCGATCACTTAGCATACAGTGACTATAATGAGGGATGTGCATGTGCATGTCTTTTAGTATCGATGAAGTTGTCTACATGTGTTTGACTGTCCAAGGGTTATTCCAAGTGTATAGTCTCAACCATGAGCAGTATATAGGAGGGTGCAGCTTTATTTTTCCAAAGGCATCCTCTTGAGAATATGACTAAAGTGCAGTATTTGTTCAGTAAACATGCTACAAAAAGTAGGGCATATACAATAGCTGCATATGTACATTTTCTAGTGAATAAAGGTTTTAAGGAGAAGATTGTCTGAGGGAATGAATTTCACATTGTGATGCAACTGGCAGAAAGGCAAAAAAAAAACAAAGCTGTCTGTCTGCCTTATCTGACTACTTGTGTAGATTTACCTTTCATACCAAATTTGGAGCGCCGACCATATTTGTTGATTAGAACAAAGAGGATGAGGAGGAGGACGCAAGCGAAGCCCGCCAAACCAACAGCAATGGAAACCTGGGAGAAACAAAATGCTGTGTCACACTCAGGCAGCAATCAGAGGAATGTATTCACATCATAATCCTTTCCAGATTTCTTATCACCTTACTATAAATACTTCAAATCAGAGATTAATCCATGAAATTGTGACTACTGTAGTCTCATACAGATGTCTGGGAAAAAAAGTTTAACTTCTGTGATGTATTCCATTTGTCAGAATGTAATTTAAATGTGATCCTCATCTACAGCCAGCATTACTCTCAGTGCAGCTGGCAAAAGTGCAGCCACTTTAAAGTTACTTGCATGATATGACTCTGAAGAAGCTGCTGGATCTGAAAGGCCTGGCTGACTATCATTAAAACCAAAATTTCAGATATAAATTGTACTAATCTGGTTACATAAGAATTATTGGTATAAATAATGGCAATATACAGTAAACAGCTGTTTTTTCCTGTTTACAATGTAGTTTAGTTTAATAATCTAAAAAATAATAGATTTCTTATTACCCTATTTAATCCAGAAGGAAATGAAAACAAGAAATTAAGATTTCAACAACCAAAATCATTTTTACCCTTAGCCAAACCCCAACCCCAACTGGGGTTTTAAGAAAATAAGTATGACTGGAAAAGAGCACTCAGAGAGCGCATGTACCTCTACCAAGGCACAACATTTGCTCATACAAATGAGTCCCATGTAAAAAATGAGATCCAGAGCAACACAAAATGTGTCCTAAAATCCTTATACTGTGCATCGTACCTAAATATTTCAGCATTCCATCTTTATTATAGGCCAAGTTATGGCAGAAAATATGTGTTAAATGTGGTTTTAAATATTAACTTTAAATGGCCGTCAAATCCATAACTCGGATTAAATCCAGATGAAATTTGGTCTGGTGATAAGCATTGTCACCCTACAAATGTGCGTCAAATTTCAAACAAAAAATTATTTTGAACAGTTTTGACTGAGATATGAGATTTTTTTTTTTTTTTAATTTGTCCATGTTAAATATGGGGATTGTGTGTGTGTGTGTGTGTGTGTGTGTGTGTGAGATTATTATTATTATTTTTGTGACTTTGACCTTTGACCCTTTTCAGCCAAAATCTAATCACTTCTAGGGTTTGTCCCCACCAGTGTCTGTACCAAGTATGCTGATGATAACTCCAGCCATTTGTTCACAATCCTGCTAACCAACCAAGAAACACACACACAGAACCAAAAACATAACCTTCATGGTGGAAGTAACAAAGCAACCCTATAGACATTTTCCACAGCAGATATTTTAGCATGCCATGTCAGGAAAAGCACAGGTAATCTTTTGATTTGATTTGATTTATTTATTCTTTCACGCATGTAAAGACAGTTGATATATCAACAGAGCCCACTCCATCAGAGCTATTGCATCCTCCATTGCCCTCTTCAAAGGGATGGCCCTGGAGGACATTTGCACAGCAGCCTCCTGGCCTTCTTGATATTTGTTTACCTGTTTCTACCTTGATTTGATTTGATTCAATTTATTTATTCTTTCATGCATGTAAAGACAGTTGATATATCAACACACATAATTTTACACATATCCAACAAATGCTAATCCAATATCAATGTGCTTATACCTAGTACATGCTTGAATGGAGTAGGAAGAAGTCAGACTTATCCAGTCCTACCCCCTGACATCATCTTGCCATCATTGGTTTGCAAGCAGTATCTCTACATAGATAATTCTCTTCTACACCACACAAGTAATATACTAAAGAATTATTACAAAGTGTTAACATTCATACACCACACCCACAATGTTCCATCTAATTAATCATTAAGCCTGTTCTTGCATATATCTTGATTGACACATACCTTTATATTTATGTTTAAACTCGTCAATTCTATTACTATTTTTTATGTCCACACTTAAATTATTCCATAGTTTTACCCCACTTAAGGAAATACAAAATCTTTTTTTAGTTGTACGTATAGCATGAATTTTTAAATTTAACTGACCCCTTAAATTGTATCCCCCTTCCCTTTCATTAAATAGTTTTTGAATTCCACCAGGTAATAAATTGCTCCTGGCTTTATACATAAACACTGCAGTCTTATATCCCACTAAATCAAAAAATTAACAATTTAGCTCCATTGGTGTGATCCCTGTACCCCATCTTATGCACAATTCTTATCGCTCTTTTTTGTAATATATACAATGGTTGAAGTGAGCTTTTGTATGTATTTCCCCAGTTTTCAACGCCATACTCTAAGTATGGTAAAATCAATGAAGAATACAAAATGCGTAGTGCTTTCCCATCCAAAATATATCTAACCCTTGCCAATATCGATATATTTTTTGCTATTTTGTGCTGAACATATCTGATATGAGATTTCCAGGAGAATTTGTCATCAACTATGACACCTAGAAATTTAATTTCATATACTCGTTCTATATTAGCTCCCCCAATTTTCAATTGAAGTTCATTATCTAGTCTACAATTCCCAAATACCATAAATTTAGTTTTATCCAAATTCAGAGATATGATTGATTGTGTCAAATGCTTTTTTTAGGTCAACAAATATTCCCATCGTGTATTTCTTCATATCCATAGCACTTGTAATGTCCTCCATCAGGTCGGTAATGGCCAAAGATGTCGATCGGTTCGACCTAAAACCGTATTGGCAATCGGAGAGGATTTTATGTTTGTCAATAAATGTATCTAATCTGTTATTAAAGAGTTTTTCCAGGATTTTTGAAAATTGTGACAACAGAGAAACCGGTCTATAATTTGTGAAGTTGTGCTTATCACCAGATTTATACAGTGGAATAACCTTTGCTATTTTCATATTATTGGGGAACTGCCCAAGTCGAAACGACATGTTAAAAATATGGGTTAATGGTTTGCATATCCCCTCAATTACCCATTTAACAGTTGTCATAGTGATACCATCACTATCACTAGATGTTTTGTTACCACATTTATTCACTATCTCTATAATTTCCTTTTAAACTATGGGCTTCAAAAACATAGAACTCATGTTCCTTTCGATTGTATTATTATTTATAGTGACGGATGTATCATCTGTACAAATGCTTCTTGATGACACTAAACAAAATGGCACAGTTTAGGTGAGTATGTTCCTGGATCCCAGGGCCTCATTTATCAACCGTGTGTACACATAGTTTTGTGCATAACTCGTAGAATTCTCAAGGACTCCTCTTGCCCTGTTCACAAACTGTTTGACCTCCTGCCCTCTGGGAGGCGCTTCAGGAGCCTCCAGACCAAAACCAGTAGACTCAGGAACAGCTTCTTCCCCACAGCTGTCTCCTTACTGAACTCTGTCCCCTATTGACCGCCACTGCCTTTTTCTAAACCACTACACATACCTCACTCCTTCTCATCTCTCCTCCCAGGACTAATGCAATACACTTCTGTTACCTGTAATACTGAAGTAATCTGATAATTTGCACATACTTATGGAATACTGCTCTGTTATTCATCTGCACAGTGTACTGTACACATGCAGACACTGTATATTTATCTTTGCACTATTTACATCCATTGAACTGTTAACTCATGTAATTTATTATCTTCTGATTCTGCACTATTTCATTCCACCTCATTTCATTGCTAGTGTTTTATAAGCTTACTGTACATTATCCTTACTTGTGATTTAAATCCATAAAGTCTGTTGTATATTGTACATTATCTTACATATCTTACTGTAAATAGCAATTGTACATATCTGTCGGTAAATTAGTACTGACTATACATACTGTAGATACTGCACACTCTGCACTGCTGTTATTGCACTTCTGGTTAGATGCTAAACTGTATTTCGTTGCCTTGTACATGTGTAATGACAATAAAGTTGAATCTAATCTAATCAATTGTACACTAATTTCTGTACACAGGATCAAATTTCTCAGTTTCTACTTGTGCTTGAAAATATGCACACTTTTACAACACCCCCTAACCAGGTGTATAACAAACTGGCAGAAGGGTATAATCACAGACAAAACAATTCTTACTGAGATACTCAAACAACAACTCGACTATCAAGCTTGTAATATTGGATATGTTGTAAACTGCTCCTTCAATTCCACTTTTGTTTGGAAGATAAGGTAACTATTCCTTTCAGAGAAATTGATGCCCTTAATGCCTCTGTTTCATCTTGTTTCTTGAGTAGTGCAGTCAGTGAGCCTACATTATACATCTATCAATAACATTTCATTTTAATCAAGTCTGCATTAACAATAAACTGTTTCCTTGTCATTCATTTTATTTTTCAATTTGGCTGAAACTGCTAAAAAGTAAAACTATTAAAAAGCAAATGAAAACTAAATTGTAATGAACTGCATTTAAGTAGATTATGCCAAATATCTATTTTGGACTCTGCAAATCTTTAATTTCACCACCACATAAAGTGAGTCACCTGTCAATCTGTTGTCCCCACAATCTGTTGTCTATATCTTTATGTTTTGACACCTTTGTGGAAGTGTCCAGCAGTAATCACTTTGGCTGAACATATTTTTAACTGTTACTATGGTTCTTGGCAACTGTAGACAATAGACACTACTTCATTTCACTCCAGCCACCACCGTGGCACTGCTGGAGCTCATGAGGATTCGTGCACACCTCATCGCTTGCTATCTCACCATTTAATTTCATGATAACCATCTGTATGGCACCAATGAAGGGTGGATTTATTGGAAATGTTATCTCCATAGGAAAATTTGTTTTGGCCTCCACTATGAAATATAAAATAACATAAAACAATGACAACAGGCAGCACTGGTTTTTACACCCAGATTTGAAACTATCCTTCACATCTGCTCTGACAATGCCAACAATCTTGTTAGTGCTATTTTCCCTCATTTGAAAATTTTGTCCACAGCAGCTCTACACATTAAGGAGGACTTTCAGAGAGCCATGGTTGTCATTTAGCATTTGCATGTATGTGAATCAGTCTGTACATGTACAGGCAGGTGGATAAAGAGCAGGTGAGATTTATCATTACAAAAATGTAAGGAATAATTAAAAAAAAATAGTGTGTTCAGTCATTGGCCTGTCCAATTATCTAGCTCACTGACCACAGCTGTGAGTATTTGGACTATTTTGGATTGTTTCAAAACATACTGACAATTTTAGTTAATGTAAATCTTTTACTGTATAAAGTGGGTGTTACTGTAAACCAAAACACCTTTTTAACAGTAAATATTTGGACTATCATGAAAAGTAAATGTGTAATTAATAATGCTATTGATAGCTCAGTTCCTGCACACCAGTGCTTTTCCTGCTATGATGTGTCAAAGGGCTCCAATAACATCCCCACCTGTCTGTCCACTGAATGACTCACCAGAATTGGTGTCAAAAGCTGAACAAAATCCCCCTATTAACATAAAAAGCATGATCCACAGCAGGATAGTGTTACCATCCTCAACGTCATTAGTGGCTGAACATACAACTTTGAAAAATGACTGTAGCATCATCTTTGTGCCTGAGCGCTGCATCTCATCACACATTAGCCAAATAAAAAGCCGTTTACATTTGTGTTCAAACACAGCAGCTCTCTGCTAAGTCCAGAGGCAACATCTTTAGCAGCTGTTTCATCAACATCATTAAGCAGAAAACTCACCCCAAATGTATCTTCATCTGGTCGGCCTGAATCGCCATCTGACGGCAATGAAGGAACTACAAGACAAAAACATAAAATGGGCATCAGTGGCTGGGATGAAGAAATAAATATTTAATGACTCTTACACTTATTTATTGTGGATACAACACTGTGAATATGCTGTAATAAACCATTTTCAATCTTTATCATTTAATTATACTGTATGAACCTGTTTATGCAACCATTAACATTAAATAATTGAACACTTACACAAGTTGCCGTACAGCCTAACAGGCTAGAATTATATAAGCAGAAAAACAGAGAGGAAGCTCATACAACCTAAAACACCAAATGTTAAATTAGATCGACTTAAATCGGCTGAAAAATGCATTGAACTAAATAAAACCACATCTTCATCTAAAATATCTGACCCAAATGTTCAGATAAAACTGTAGCCTGCTTGACTCAGGTCAGGTAGTAGCATTCGAATGTAAACAGTAGTCAATTTATGTCTAAAAAAAAGACTTATTTCTAATACCTTGATGTCACACCCCTAAAATGTGTTGGCAAACAACAGAGTTTTGAGCATTGTAAGGACAGTACAGAGACAGATATGAAACAAAATGAACTGGTATCAGGGAAACTCCAGTTTGAGGCCTCCAGCCAGGACATCCGAGAGTAATTGTGGGCAAATTAATGGCCACATGGTAGACTGGCTGCCAGTATCCCAAAGTGAGCTGCTCTGTGTGAGACTGCGTGTGCCCTGTTCTCTGTTCCTGCTTCCCAGCCTTTATCCCTCACTTCTGTCCACCTTCTGCCCCCCTCTCTCTTCAGTGGCATTAGTATCAGTCAGCCTGTCAGTCTCCCTTCAACGGCTGAGCACCCTCAAACACTCTCATCACATAAACACCTATCCCTCACCTTCCTCACTCCCAGAAGCTGTGCATGCATGTGTGTGTGAATATGGCAACATGGAGTTACTGCCTGTAGCTTGCCACACAGTTAGCATCCATTTGTCTCCATTCAGGCCATGCTGCAGCTTTATCTTCCATGGCAAATTAGAAAGAATGGCCTTATATGGAGATAGAAGAAGACTCTGATTAAGGTCAGAGAACCGATCAAACCACTCTGATTAAGCCATCAACAATGAAGCTACCAGAACACTCAGAGGCTAAACCAAACATCCCAAACAGGAGATTCAGGATGCAGTTTGAGAGCAGGCCAAGAATTGTTCCAGCTAAAATACTGCACTTACCACTTCACAAGCACTAAGACATAACCAGGTAATGAACTAGCTTGTTTTCACTGAAGCTGGTTATTTAGGGGTGAGAGAAGCGCCATTATGCATGCTCAGTCACAGGTACCTCTCACTACAGAGAATGACTGAAACTTGGGGTGTACTGGGGTGTAATGTCAAAGAGCACATCACAGGACTGCTACAACTCTGGTTCAGTTCCAACTAGGAATCTTTGTTCCATTATCCATTAAACAAAATATTTAAAAATACAGACAATAATGCATAAACATACACTGTCTTTCTTGAAAGCTAATTCACATCATGCAGCCAAGACAAAGAAATAACAGATATTACATTATTCATATCATCACACTATCATAGTAGCAGAATATCATGTACTGTATGTACCCATCAAGTGCATATTCAAGACACTTTCAGTTCTCATTTTAAAAACATGAAGAAGTCATTTGGAGCTATTATTGTTAGCTTATTAGCCACAACTGATAAAATCTGCAGTCATTTGACAAAATTGAAAGATGTGTCCTGTAAAGAAAAACCCATTTTGTCTACGTCTGTTTGAAATAAAGAACTCCAACAGTGACTATGAATGAGGTAACGCTGGTGGTAAATCTGCCAATATTAGTAGCATGTGTTGTCACAGCAAATAAACGCCACTGCTTAACAACCAGCAGAAGAATATTGTGGTTGTACAGGACATCTTACAGTGAAAGTGCATGGAAATATATGAAGTAAAAGCAGGACATCACTCCAAAAATAAAAAGAGGCAGACAGTATCTTGTGTCTTAAGGAAACCATGAGCCAGTGAGTAGCTACTGCCCTGTTATAGAAGCCTAAAACTAGCAGTAATAGACACCATGCTGTATGAGAAATAAAATAGTTTGTGTAAATATTCAGCTTTAATCTCCAGGAAGGCTTTGCTAAACATACCAAGCATATGGAATATCCTATTCCTTCAGTGAAGAAATTCAAAGTGGCAACCTCTGAGTA